ACCGAAAGATGAAAATGATAATGTATATGTACTAACGATGTAGTGTGAAATGTCTAAATATGTGCTTGCTTCTCCGTTAAAATCAAAAGATTTCTGTAGCTGAATCATTTGTTAACAATTATACAAGGTGTTAGGAAAACGCTTCCGAATCTTTAACATGGTTATTATACCATATTAATGGAGTCCTACAAAAATATTTGTTTACTTGAATAATTAGTATTTAACGAAATCGTATTTTCTAAGCACGCAATGTAAAACGTACAAATACACGGGTGAACGACCGCGCGGCGCGAGCGTTTTTGATAGTTGCACACATGCATAAACGAGCTCACACAAACACACACAGAGACGATCGTAAGTACTACGTAAAGTAATTTATTACAATAACCTTTAATTTTATTATAAGTAACGATTAATTTAACCAGTTAAACTTAACATCATGATTTTTATTGTAATGCAAAAACGTACTTACCTGTTCATGTTCTCCGCGGTCTAACTAAGTGTGGCTCAAATTGTGCCCCATTCATCTCAACACAAATTCGAGCCCGTCGCCGCGTCTCTTCGTGAAGTCGAGGCATGAGAGTTGAGTCCTCGATACAACTCGTTCTTATTGTCTCGAATGCACTCACAATTCTTGCCCGCATTTCCTCAGCACTGTCACAAACTCTATTGAACACTTTTTCTTTAACACACCCCCACAAAAAAAAGTCCAAAGGTGTCAAATCAGGAGATCGTGGTGGCCAGGCTTGCGGTCCTAATCGCCCGATCCAACGGACACCAAATAGTTCAGTGAGACGCTCACGTACCGGCCGTACCACATGCGGCGGTGCGCCATCGTGTTGAAACCAAGCCCTTCTTAGCTCAGCTAATGATATGCCTTCAAGAATTTCATCAAGGCTCTCATTAATGAACCTAAGATACCCAGCTCCGTCAAGTCGTTGTGGTAGAAACACCGGCCCAAAGATAACATTGTTGAAGACGCCAGCCCAAACGTTGACCGACCATCGGGTTTGGTGGCCAGTCTCTTGAGTGGCACGTGGATTGGTTTCAGACCATAAATGTGAATTTCGTCTATTCCACATGCCGTTCCTTGTGAATGTAGATTCATCTGTCCAGATAACATGCTGAATAAATCCTGGAAGACGCTGTTGTTGATCCAACAACCAACGGCAGAAAGTGTGACGACGGGGTAGGTCTTCGGGTATCAAAGATTGCACTTTATGAATTTTGTAAGGCCGCATTCTGTTTCTTCGCAAAACTTTGTACACCGTCCAATGCGAAACTGAGGGCCCATTTGGCCGCTGCAGTAACTTCGCAGCAGTCCTCGTGCCCAAACGGGGGTTGCGTTGGATCACATCGAGAATACGCTCCTCGACTGCAATGTCTATTGGTCGCCCACTGCCGACCGCCACCGGAACGATCGGTTGATTCTCCAACAGTCGTTGAAACGCAGCAGTAACGGTTCGAGAGTCTCCTGGATGATGCACATTAGGAAATCTTTCCCGGTAAATTCTCAAAGCTAGAGAAGCATTGCCACGTGCTTCTCCTAAACACATAACCATGTTCCCATACTCACGAGCACTGTACACATACGCATTAGGCATGATGAGATGCACTTATTGTCTAATAAAACTTAAAATAAACACTAAATAAATAAACCTCACACGCTCAACTAAAAACTATGATAACTAATTTAACGAAATAAACTTTAAAATACGCATTCGCAAACCGAGATGGAAAGTTTTTTGCCACTGGTCGGCCTCATGCCTCGCTCATATCAAAGAAGCCGCGATCATTCGTTCTTCAGTTCTTCCTACTGAATATTCGAGTGTTGCAACTTTTTCACCAAATTCCCAAAATTGTTTTAGAAATGAAATCTGCAATTGAATGGATTGTGCATTACGTGTTCGATCAAATTTATGTTTTAACATTGTGAATTATTACAAGAACTGATATCGTAAGTAATTTTTAATAATACCGAAATAAACCAAATGAAAATTGTCTGAAAGTGTACGCTATACTAAATTATTTTTATGACAAAATAAGTAAAATGTTTGAAATAATGTTGTGCATCATTAATAATTGTTTTCACCGTATCCTAATAAATAAAAGTAAGACAGAGAAATTATTATCCGGGTACCGTTTTTGTTAACCGATTGGCAGGAACATTGGCTAACGTAACTTAACCAACCTTATTTGCGACGCTCTTAACTTATTGTTATACGAATAAATTTTTAAAAGTGATTAATGTTATTTCAATAACATCAACTTCAATTTAAAAAAAAAAAATTAATAATACCATGTAATCAAAAATATTAAAAAGATAGATAGATATTTAAAAGATAGCTTACCTTTCTTTAATATCATACAATTTTTATGGAATTTATCCCGTAAAAAAATTACCCAATTAAGGGAAAAAATTAGAGCTGGCAGCACGTGTAGCGGCAGCATGTCTCAGAAACCGGAAGCGGACGGACCGGAAAAGTGAAGCGGCATCTTTTATAAACACACTCACCGGTCACTGCAGTTCGCAATGATATCTAGGGCTGCCACTCATTTCACTTAGCAACTTTAATAGTAATTAATTATGTGTTTAGATTTATAAATAAAGTTTGTCGTAAAAGTACTAAGTGAAGTTTTACAATTCAACATCGCGTTTAATCATGAATAACCCGATAGGATTATACTATTGGGTTAGTCATGGAAAGTAAGTATTTATTAAGAGAAACAACTATTCCGCTTTTTTATAGTTTTCAAATTGAAACAAGAGAAATAATTATGCTAAAATTGAATCGGGAAAAAATTCAATTGGGACTCCTAATAGTTTTTCATAAAGTTTACTTTTTTAATGATTTCACACACACACACACACACACACTTCTGGAGAAATGAAGTTTCTTATACATTTAGATTTTGATGAAATAAAAATGATTTAACACCTTCCCCTCATTTTAATGAAATGTATTTATCTGATCTTTTTGTGTTTTATAAAACCTAAATAAATTACTATGCGAGTTAAAAGATATCGTTATTAGTTACATGCTCTGAATAAAATCAAATGATTTTTGTCTTAAACTTTTCTGCGCTAACGTAAAAAAAACTCATTAAAATAAAGCTCACATTTTAAAGACAAGTAAATAAAAAAGTGCACTTAGCAAAATCATGTAATGTAAGTTTTATTTTTAAAAATTTACAAAGATAAAAATTTTGTAAATACTAGAGTTACTAAACCGTTTTGAAATGTTTAGTCGAAACAAATGTTTTCCAGAAGAACATGCATTTTATCTAGTAGGTTATTCAAAAACGATATTTACTCATTAAAAAGTGGCACCCCTTAACACGGAAACACTACCGATTGATTTTGCTTTACACTACTAGATGGCGCTGCATCTATCATTCTCATTCGCTATATCATCAAAACCGCCGCGATTTGCCGCTAGATGTATCTAGAAGTTTACGAGCTTGGCCTGCAGTATCTTCGCTCTCGTTTTTACTTATTGTTATAGCGTGAAAGGGAATGATCATCAATAAATAACAATTTAAAAAAATAACAAAACGCCGTTTTAAAACTACTTTTAGTAATTGCGTTTTCATTGCATTTTCTTAATAAAACACAGGAAAATGGGTACCTAAACTAGCAACGTAGAGAACTAAGAGCTTTTCGTCGCTAGATGTCGCTGAAGTTTCTCACTCGTATCTTCTGTCTCTTTTCATTCTACCAGTGGTGAAGGAAAAAAGAATGAAAGTGCCCTTTGAACGTACCAAAGATTATTGAACTCTCGGGGTCGTCTACCGCCGATCAGCTGATTTTTTCGAGTTTTAATTACATTGCGTTTTTATGGAAAATCAATAAATAGACAAATTTATTGATAACAATAGTAATACTTAACTTATTTTACATCGCTAAAAATGAAAAAAAAATAAAAATAACATATTTTTATGAAAAATAAAGTAATCATTTTTTCATTGCAATGTATCCAGAATCACTTACTCTATCACTGGTTTTCGTTTTCGGAAGCGTTCCCCTAACACCCAGTATATGTCGCATCATCTTTTGCGAGGATCGTTTGATTTAGTTTCTATTATTTTAATTGCTAGTTATTCGATTCCTTGATTACTCGATTGTAGAGAAAGCGTGGTTCCCGATACTTTTAATTTTATTAGAATGGTGACACCGACTTCAGTTGTTGTTATCACTTTCGTCTGGCAACTGGAGACAGTATGCGCGAGATTGCCTTTTAAATCGTTCTGACATCTGGTTGTTTCAAATATAGTATGTACATATTCTCAATGAACGACTTCATCCTACTAGCGTAGTAAATTAACTAGTGCAAATCTTACATTAAAATTGCGATTTTTATGTGAAAATATATATGGCACAAGTAGAGTATATACTGTTAGTTATTTTCGCATAAATCTATTATATTGTATTTATCCATAGAAAAATACATTCGAAAATTCCATAGCGTTAAACCTATTACGGTATGCCATTTTTTTTTCAGTCAATGATAATTAATAACCTATCAAGATATATTCGGCTTGTGTTAGTAATTACGGTAAGGAAATCTACTATTTCAATATAAAAGGCAAGTAACTGGTGGATAGAAATAAAAAGAATTTATGCATTTGTATTTCACTGTTTTATTATTTTATATAAAATGTTGCATTTTAATGGGCTAATTATTTTGCTCTTTTCATTAGGATGCAAGGTCTAACGATATAATAAACGCATATTGTTCCGTTATTATGATGCTATTCCCTCTTGTATTTTTGCGATGATGTCTTTGGTACTGCTGTATACATCATCGAACATCACAGACTTTATGATATGTTGGACGCAAATCTCGGCTTCACAATCACATGTTGAATTTTCGGAATTTGGGAAGTTGTCAGCGTCATTCTATTTTGATAATTTTTGCTGCTCGGGTAATTGGTTTTTTTATATAAGAGAATATGATTCTATCATTTCTCATTCTTTTGCGAGATAAGCCCAAGGTTTTATGCTCTGGTTTTTGAAGCAGAGGTTGATCCTTCGGTATATTCGGCACAAAGTTGAATAGATCTTCAGTATCCTGAAAGGAAATAAAATATTAGTATAGAGTAGGTATTTTGTTCTTCAATGTAAGAGATACTAAATGAAATTTACTTTGAAATACTATGAAGACTGTTTATAAAGACATCAAAGTAGTTAGATAAAATATATTAAAATTAACAATAAATTCAAATAAATGAATACTTACCGACATGACTGCGATGACAATGTAGTCAATTGCGTAAAATAGAAGTGATTTTTTTTTATTCTCTTCCGTATTTATAAGCGTTTAGACATATATCTAGCAATTATACATAGGTACATTTATTTTAGGTCAATAGATTTCAATATAATAATTGTTGCAATTCTCTTCTAACTCGCCTCTATATGGTCCGATGTAACCCAAAGCCCTACGTTGTCGCCAGCGTCAGCACCACCTATCCACCCGCTCACTTTACCCCCGCATGCGCAGTGCACTGTGATTGTTTATAGTTAAAACTTAACCCTTTAAGCGTCACAATATTTTGTTAATTTTCTTTCTGTATACCGTTATATATTATGTAGGATTTTTTTTTTATCAATCTTGCTATGGTAAATCTTATATTTATTTATCCATTCGATTAATAAAAAAAAAAACACTTAGGATTGGCGTATGATATCAGGTAGGCAATAAAAATCGGTAAAAAAAAAACAAGCTTGTCTGTAGTTGTCTGTAATAAAAAACGAGCTTGTTTTTGTAAAAGAGGCCTAACAACAGTTACGAGTATAATCGTAATTAGCACCATGTTACAGTTCCTCACTACGAGTTATCTCGTAACTGGCACGGAAAGGGTTAAATTATAATAATATAAATATTTCTGTTCGTAATTTTATTATTTTTTAATGCAAAACACGAAGGCATAGTTATTTTTTCTTTGCGTATAGATCTGGAAAATATTTCTTTAGACAGTATGATCATCTATACAGTAGTTAATAAAATATATACTTAGTTACATAATTAAATAGTTTCAAAAATATTTAACTAAACAAATATTTCCTTTATTTAAAATAAGCGCACCCGAAGGAATAGTATGCTAATTTTACTTTCAGCATGATCAACATTTTCTGTTTTGGAGTTAGCTGAATATACAATTATTCCATATTGGGAAAGAATCACGTGGTTTTCCTCGGTATATAAATCACTGAAGATGGGGCTGGAGCATTATTACGCTATCCCGATCTGTTACGATCAACAGGCAGTGCAACTTGAATAAATTCTACGTTTTTATCATGTAAGTACATATTTTAAAACAAATTATTTCAGAATATTTTCAATTTTAATGAATAGATGAGTCATTTTGAATTATATATCACTCTGTGAACTGTGTTCAAATCAATTCAATGTCAAAAAGTGAATTGAATATAATTCAAAGTGATCATTTGATTCTACTTTAGATGTTTATTGTTTTTGTTTTATACATGTTTGTGAGTAATCATTGCGTGTATAAGAAAAAAATTATTGTCACTTTTATGTATACATCATTAATAAATCCTTTAATATTATTGTTTCAGGTCGAAACATGCTGAATCTAACTGCGATGATCTTTTCCCATCAGATGAGGAAGGTTCTGTGCAAGGCGAACTGCCTCAGGTGCCTCCAAAAAAGTTGAAACGCTCGAAAGCATCGGGTTCATCTTCGAGTTCAGATCCTGCGATCGCACCAGCAGCGGTGTCCAGCTCACTTGGTACAGCTAAGCGCTCAAAAAAAATCAAGATCAACCCAATAACGAAGCCTCAAGTTACGGCTACTGATTTATTCGGCAGCGACTCTGAAGATCCCGACGAGCCGACCCCTCAGCCTGCTGCCGGTAAAAAACTCCACCCATTACACACCTATGTTACTCGTAGGTTGGCCAACGTGCATGCAAGACAGTGTAACTTAAATAAGACAGGCAGTCACTATATTGAGTTAAAGGTGTATCGATGCGTCTTTTATGTCTATAAGTCACTTAGAAATAAATATTAATAAATACTGTCCTTTGCGAGGGGGCTCTTTTATTGAGTTGCCCTCAGTTGTAAAGAACACAAAAAGTTGTTTGAATTTGCAAAATAATGATAATCATTGCTTCTTATGGAGCATTATTGCGCATTTGTTTCCTTCCAAATCTAATGTTTGTAGAACTAGTTCTTACCCACACTATGAAGACGCTTTAAATATTGAGGGAATGAAATTTCCACCATGTCTAAATGATATAAAGTTATTTGAGAAAAATAATACCAGTATCAGCGTAAATATTTATGGTTTAGATAAACAGTGCTACGTGACTCTTTATATGTCAACTTCAAAGAAAAACAATCATGTGAATTTGTTATACTTTGAACGAGAGAGTTTAGGATACTACTGTTTGATTAAAGATTTAATCAGATTAGTACGTCGCCAAGTAACACAGCACAAAGGCAAAGTATTCGTTTGTGATGCTTGTTTGCAATTTTTTTCTAGTGAAAATAAATATACTTCACATGATTGTAGTAAACTATTAACTGTATTACCTGACAAAAATAGTATAATATGATTTAAAAACTATGACAGACAACAAAAAATTTAATTTGTTATATACGCTGACTTTGAAAGTATTTTAAAGGATTGTCCAATCAACAATAAAACCAAAAATACTCAGAATATAAAAATGCATGAACCGTCTTGTTTTGCTTATTATATCTGTTGTTCCTATGATGCAAGTTTAAACAAGTATGTTACTTATCGAGGCACAGATTGTGTGCAAGTTTTTATAAAGCTGTTATTCGAAGACATTCAATATATAAATTCTATATTATCTAAAAATAAACCCATGAAGAAATTAACTAAAGAACAAAAAAATGAATATATTAATGCTACAACATGTCATATTTGCAAACACTTGCTATTTGGTGACAAAGTCCGCGACCATGATCATGTTACATCGGAATACAGAGGTGCAGCACATTCTCATTGCAATTTGATGTATACAATGTGTTCATTTATACCTGTGGTTTTCCATAACCTGTCTGGTTACGATAGCCATTTATTTATCAAAGAGTTAGCAATGTATGATGGTTCTATCAAAATAATACCTAAAACGAAAGAAAAATACGTTTCTATTGTAAAAATCATTAAATCTAAAGATGATACTCATTCTATACAAATAAAGTTTATTGATTCTTACCAATTTTTAAGTTCGAGCTTAGACGAACTATGCAAAAATCTAAACCTTAAAGATTTTTCACATTTAACGCGAGAATTTAACGAAAACAAACGCCTTGAATTATTAAGAAAAAAAGGATTTTACCCCTATGAATACGTAAACTCATGGTCAAAATACGATGAAAAGTCTCTACCGTCCAAAGAATGTTTTTATAACTCTTTGAAGAATGAAAATATTGCCGATTTCGAATACGAACATGTAAAAGCAGTTTGGCATGAATTTAATATTAAATCTCTTGGAGAATATACAGATTTATACCTGAAATGTGATGTATTACTACTTTGCGACATATTTGAAAATTTTAGAAACACAAGTTTGCAGCATTATAATCTTGATCCGGCATATTATGTATCTGCGCCGAGCTTAAGCTGGGATGCTATGCTGTTTTGTACTGGAGTCACTTTAGAATTGATACATGATTTAGAAATATATCAGTTACTTGAAAAAGGAATACGCGGCGGTCTAGCTCAGTGTTCTTTAAGACATGCGAAAGCGAATAATAAATACCTTCCGAATTATGAAGATACAAAACCTTCAAGTTATTTAATATATCTTGATTGTAATAACCTTTACGGTTATGCTATGAGAAAAAAAATGCCTGTTTCAGAATTTCAATTATTAAACAATGATGAAATCTCAAAATTTGACGTATTGAAAATATCAGATGATGCTGATTACGGTTATATCTTAGAAGTAGATTTGCTTTACCCAGAAAAGTATCATAATGCACATAGCGACTTGCCTTTTGCACAAGAAAAGTTTATTCCGCCAGGAGGAAAGACAAGAAAATTGATAGCTAATTTGTATGACAAATACCATTATGTAATTCATTACATACATTTGAAACAATGTTTAATTCATGGATTGGTTTTAAACAAAATTCATCGAATTATCAAATTTAGACAAGATGAATTTTTACAAAAGTATATCGACTTAAACACTCAGTTAAGACAAACGTCTACATAGCAATTTCAAAAAGATTTTTTCAAACTTTTAAATAACGCTGTTTTTGGCAAAACAATAGAAAACAAACGCAAACAAGCAAATATAAAGTTAATAACAAAGTGGAATGATTCGAGAAACAGCACCAATAAATACATAGGTGCTGAAAAACTTATTTCACGACCTAATCTTAAGAGCATTTCAATATTCTCAGAAAACTTTGTAGCTGTTCAATTGAACCCTGAGAAAATATTATTAGACAAACCTATTTACATCGGTTTTACGGTGTTAGAGTATGCAAAACAACACATATATAAATTTCATTATGAGTTCATCAAAACGAAATACAATGATAAAGCTAAATTATGTTATACTGATACAGACAGTCTTTTGTATTTAATTGAAACTGAAAACTTTTATGAAGACATGATTCAAAATATATCAGCATTTGATACTAGTAATTTTGTTAATGATAATCCCTATGGCATTGCTCAAGTAAACGCAAAAATTCCTGGTTTATTTAAAGATGAACTCGGAGGTTCTGTAATTTCCGAGTTCATTGGCTTGAGGGCCAAACTTTATTGTCTGAAAAGTGTAAAGACAACATTAAAAAAAGCTAAAGGTATAAAAAAATCAGTTACTAAAAAACTAAATCTTGGAAATTACAATGATGTATTGTACACAAATAAGACAATCAAACATAAAATGAATATAATAAGATCTATAAAACATGTCCTGTATTCACAACAAGTAAATAAAGTTGTTTTGAATGGGAATGATGACAAAAGGCAAATACTCTCAAACCGAATTGACACATTGCCCTGGGGGCATTATAATACTATTTCTTAATATTATATTTTATTTTTGTTATAATATATACAATTATACATTGATATGACAACCAAATCAATAATACAGTTTTATAATGTTGCTTATTAATTTTTAAGTATTCAAAATTTGTATTTAGTATGTAAGTTATTAATTTTGTGTAATTATAATATGATAAGTTAAATTGAGCATAAGTTGGAAGTAAAATATTGTGATTAGTAATAAATTATCTAATATAGAGAGTTGTTTGTATCGGTTATCCCAATCCAGAACCTATATAAAGGTGTGTAGCGTTATAATGATTTAGTTACAATGAAGTTCATCAAACAGTCTGACACTTTAGAAGTTAAAACCATAAAATTGGAAAATATTGCACACAAAGTTAAACATAGTATACTATTACCTAACGCGATTCGATGTATAATATGTGGTCCATCCAGTTGTGGAAAAACTAATGTAATGCTAAATTTACTATTGCATGATAACGGCCTTAAATTTAAGCACATTTATTTGTATTCAAAAACTGCTTTTCAACCTAAATATTGTTTTCTACGACAAGTTATAAAACAGGTTCCTATTGCGAAATTATTTATTTTTAATGAGAATAAAGATGTTATTTCTCCAAATGAAGCTTTGAAAAATTCAATAATGATTTTTGATGATGTTGCATGCGAAAAGCAAATAAATATTCGTAACTATTTTGCTATAGGCAGACATAGACAGATAGATTGCTTTTATTTATCACAGACCTATAGTAAAATACCTAAGCAATTAATACGTGATAACGTTAATATGTTGATAATCTTCAAACAGGATGACATTAATTTAAAACATATTTATAATGAGCATGTAAACACAGATATTGGATGGTCAGAGTTTAAAAAACTTTGCGTGACGATATGGCAAGATCAATTTAGTTTCTTAACTATCAATAAAGATTGCGCTCTAAACAAAGGAAGATATAGACAAGGCTTTGATACTTTTATTTGTTTTAGTAAGGAATGATGTAATTATTGACGTGGATATAAACGCAGTATATAATCTCGTACATAATAAAAAATAAGCTATTACTAAATGAATATTAGCACACCTCAGTCGAGTATAGTTTCATAATGGACGTAGACATTAAAGAACAGCTGATCAAATCAGTAGACAATATAAAAAATAAAATAAGGGAAATTCAAAGTGCAGAAGAAGCTGCTACTTTGAAATATAAAAAGGTGTTTAAACCAATCACAGATAATTTGGAAACAATGATTAAATCAAATGATAGAAATAAACCCACACTCAATGTTTCCATTGATATGAGTAATCATGACATAGATGAGAATCTAAACTCCTCTTTAGATTATGAGGACTTTAGTAAAAACGCACAAGCAGATTCTAATGCAAGCTCTGAATACTACGATTATGCTGACGACGAAGTAACGAAGAAAGCAGGAAGTCCTTATAAAAAGCTAAACGATACGCTTGCATCTCTAAAGGATGAAAAAATGGAATTTTATGGTAACTATATAAATGTACCATTTGGAATACGAAGTGAAAACAAAGAAATGATGATAGGAAACTCAAAAATATCATTATCTTCCAGTAGTAATGCTTCGCAAACTAATAAGAAATATGTTCTAAGCATTGGTGATAGAAATTATGAATTAACACCAGGTTTAAGAGAACTACTTATGCGCAATAAACCCAATCTTAATGTTATCAATGAAAAGGACAAAATAACGTATAAAGATATACTTCATTATACAAATGCTCATAAACGAAATTTTGATCCGGACGGTCAAATAAAGGGAGACAAAGGCTTAAAATATCGTCAAATTATCAAACCTTTGTTTTCTCAACCCACCAAGGTTGAAAATAAATATTTAAGTACAGCTAAAAGTGGTGGTGGTTATAAACCAAAATATAAAGTATACAAAAGGAATACAGATTATATTTTCTGGGATGATCCTAACGAACTGATTGAAAGGCTCAAACTAATAATAGCTTCTAAAAATGCTGGTAACACAAATCATGATAATGAAATTTTATCAATAATCGAAGAACTAACTGAAGCAGGTATTATAAAGGAATAAAAAGCATTGCACTGTCTGATATTAATTAGTAACAAATAGAACATTGGTCGCGAGTATTGATAAATTCAATATTGAGCAAAATACAAGCGAAAAGCAAAATAAAGTTTTAAATATAAATAAATACGATGAACATTATAGCACCATCATCGTCAAATAAATCAATCCGTTACCTCAATTTAGATAAAAGTTATACTGATCAATTCAAAGCTAACATTTTAAAAGAGTTTGAGAATATTAAGCAGTTGATTGTGGCTCTAACAAATAGAATAAATAAACTTGAAAAAAGGAATGAAATTAAACAACTTGCTGGAAAGTTAAATAAACATTATGAGCAAAACAAGCGTTGTAAATGAAATCTGTAAAAATGCTAGAATTAATTACCCGAGAAGGAATGTTATACTTAAAGATATAGATGATCTTTGGCAAGCTGATTTAATAGACATGCAAGCAATGTCAAAAGTTAACAAAGGCTATAAATACATACTGGCAGTAATTGATTGTTTCACAAAATTTGCATGGGCTATTGGATTAAAGACAAAAAATAAAGGAGATGTATGTAATGCTTTCGAACAAATACTTAAAAATGGACATATTCCAAAAAATTTGCAAACAGATCTTGGAAAAGAATTTTACAATAACCAATTCAAAAGCATTATGAATAAGTTAAATATTAACCATTACTCCACATATTCTGTTAAGAAAGCTTCCATTGTTGAAAGATTCATTAGAACCTTGAAGAATAAGTTATACAAAGAATTTTACATAAATGGAAATTACAAGTGGAATAATGGCATACTCGATAGAAAAATTAATGAGTACAACAACACTGTTCATAGAACTGTAGGTCAGCCTCCAGCTTCAATTTGTTTTAATGATAAAGCAAGTGTCATGCAAAGGTATGTGAAATTGAGTCGAATGAAAAAAAATAGCAATAGTCTAAAATTGGAGATTGGCGATCATGTATGAGTAAGTAAGCACAAGGCTTGTTTTGAAAAAGGTTATACACCAAACTGGTCGACAGAAATATTTAAGATTAGTTAGGTACAAGAAACTAACCCTGTAACCTATTTATTACAAGACTCTAAATCTCGACCGATACTTGGAGCATTTTATCCACAGGAACTTCAAAAAACCAAACACTGTGATATATATTTGGTTGAAAGAGTTTTAAAAAGAAAAGGGAACTTTGTATATGTTAAATGGCTTGGTCTTCCGACAAGCGAGAACAGTTGGATTCACAAATCAAATGTGTTGTAAATAGAATCTTTACTCTATACTAAGTATGTATTTAAGTAATTGTAAATATTTTTTTCTTCATTCTTAGTTAGTTCTTAAAGCAATACAGACTATTCCAAAACAATCATTATTATTTTACGTTTTAAAACAATGAGGCAAAGATACAGCAAGTTGCATGATAATAAAAAAAAGAATAAAGATACTAATATTAATGATAAACATGATGTATCATCTTCTGGGGCTGGCTTGAAGAAATCATTTAAAAATGTTGTTTCACGCACGAAAGAACATATAAAGAACCTTAAACCTAAGTGTAAAAAGGCTTTGATAAAATTAGCGTACGCAACAGCTCGAGAATTGACATCCAACTCATCTGTAAACTTGCCGAGAATTATACCTGTGCCTAAAACTGGTGGATTTCTTCCTTTAGTACCGATTTTTGCTGGCTTATCAGCCGCTGGTAGTTTGATCGGAGGTGCTGCAGGAATCGCGAAGGCAGTTAATGCATATGAAATTGCTAAAAAGCAATTGCAAGAAATGGATAGACATAATAAACAGATAGAAGCAGTGTGTATTGGAAAAGGATTACATCTGAAGCCCTACAAAGATGGGCTAGGAATTTACGTATACAAAAAAAAAAAAACTAAATTCTAGGCTACCCAAAAGACCCTTAACAAATATTGATATTATGAAGTATTCATATGATATCCCTTATTTTCGAGGAGTATTTATGAGAGATGAATTGCCGCATAAGCCCCTCTCAATAGAATGTGGTGTCATAAATCTTGACACATCTAAAAACCCTGGAACTCATTGGGTAGCCTATGGAAAATTTAATTATTATATTGAATATTTTGACAGTTATGGCAACCTAAAGCCACCAATAGAATTTATTTAATATGTAGGTCCAAATATACATTACAACTACGATAATTTACAAAAAAATAACTTATACAACTGTGGTCATCTGTGTCTGAAATTCTTAAAGACATTTTGGAACAAACGTGTAGATAAAATTATTATTAATTAAAGATATAAAGGATAGCAATAGTAGCATATGCCCATTCTCTAATTGTCTGTGCTAGGCGAGAATCGTTTAATATTACATTGAACTGATTATTTTACTATCCAAGTAGTGTTATTTTCACGGGCAGATTTTCTCATATTCCGTTACATAACATGATAATTTTTAATAAAAATCCAGTCGCGAAAGACAAACATTATATTTCACGTTCTATTCCGAAAGAAGTCAGACGTCTCAGCGTCGTTAAAACCAAAAAAGTGACTAAAGAAAATATAAAGTTTTTAAAAGATCTTGGATTTAAATTGAACAATGCTGCAAATCACAGATCTACCACATTATGATAATTCTATAGAGAGTTATGAAATTCACAGTTACAATCCATATAGTAACAGCTTTAAAGACAATGATGAAATTAGAATACCTATCCATCAACAAGATATTTATGTATTACCTTGCGATAGTTCTATCTACATAGAAGGCTACGCCCGTGTGATTTCTAAGGACCCAGCAGTAAAGAAAGAAATTAGTTTTATCAATAATCCAGTATTATATTTATTTCAAGATATACGGTATGAATTAAACGGAGTTGAAATAGATCGCATCAAAAATGCTGGAATATCTACGTCGATTAAATCTTTTGTCTCCATGAACGAAGGTGAAAGTAAAGCTGCAGCGTTATGGGGGTGGAATATAAATGGCACAAAAATAAAAGATGGTCATTTTAGCGCCGTGATTCCCTTAAATAAAATATTGATTTGCTAAAGATTATAACAAAATAATTATTAATTGTAGACATGAACTTGTATTACAAAGAAGCAATTCAGTATCAAACTGTGTAATTTTGGAAAGCAATGATAAAATCGAAATTGAAATTCAAAAACTTCAGTGGCGCATCCCACTAATTAAAGTGGCTGATCGCAATAAATTATTGTTACTTAAACATTTAGAAAAGGATCGTCATACATTACATTATACAGTTAGCGTTTAGAAATTGGGATCTATATGAATATCCATTACTGCCAAAAACCTCAAAGCATTCATGGTCAATCAAGACTGCATCTCAATTAGAAAAACCAAGATATATAATTTTTGCGTTACAAACCAATAGAAAATGTAACAACGCTAAGAGTTCATCGATGTTTGATCATTGTAAAGTTACAAATCTCAAGTTATTTTTAAACTCACAGTGCTGAAATGAAATGAAATGAAAATGAAATGAAATGAAAATATCTTTATTCAAGTAGGCTATTACAAGCACTTTTGAATCGTCCAAAAAACTTTTTTCCCCTACCACTTGTTCAGGACGTCTTTTAGCTGACAAGAAGAACAAGCGAAAGAAACTTATCAGCTTTTTATCATAAGTAATGACATTTACATAAATCATGTCATTACCAAAATAATATGTATTATCAATTTATCACAATAGTAAATACAACTTTCAAAGTCTGTAGGACATAAGTTGAACATATAATTAGTCTTTATAGAACAAAGCGAAGGCTATTAATTCCATGCATTGCGATCCTTAAAATAATCATCAACTTTATAATAGCCTTTACTCACAAGTATATTCTTTACATGAATCTGAAATTTATTTATGGGTAGGTCAATTACATTTTGTGGAACTTTATTGAACATAGCAATACATTTACCCAGAAATGATCCTCTGGTTTTTTGAAGTCTGAAGCTTGGAACGGCAAGTTTATCTTTATTTCTTGTGTTAAGATTATGAACACTACTTTTTTTTGTGAAGGAATCGTAATGTTTTCTTGTATACATAATATTCTCATAGATGTATTGAGAGGCAACAGTCAGAATATTTATTTCTTTAAATATTTCTCTTAGAGATTCCCTAGACCGTAAATTATATATAGCACGGACAGCTCTCTTTTGTAAAATAAAAACATCCTGAATGCTAGCCGCAGAACCCCATAACAATATACCATACGTCATTACACTATGAAAATAACTAAAATATACCAATCTTGCCGTTTCAACATTTGTCAAGAGTCTAATTTTCTTAACAGCAAAAGCTGCAGAACTCAGTCTACTTGACAAGCTATCAATATGAGGATCCCATTGCAGTCGGGAATCTAGTGTAATACCAAGGAACTTTGTCGATTCTACTAACTCAACTTTTTCACTATTTACATTTATAAGTGTACTGACATGCCTCACATTAGGTAATGCAAACTTTATGCATTTCGTTTTTTTTGAATTGAGCTTTAAATTATTATTATCAAACCACTGTAGAACGTTGTCGAGAGCATTATTTACATCGTCAAAACAATCATTACCCCTCTCAACTTTAAACAGTAAAGAGGTGTCATCTGCAAATAATACTGTCTCGCACAAATTCTTCGTAAAGTGAGGAAGATCATTTATATAAATTAGAAAAAGCAATGGTCCTAATATCGATCCCTGAGGTACGCCCATAGTAACTGGTGCCCCTGCAGATTTCGCTTCATTGATTACTACCTTTTGAATTCTAGCAGAAAGATATGATCTTATTAGATGAAGTGAATTTTTCGTCACACCATAATGTTCTAATTTCCCCAACAGTGTTTCATGACTAACGCAGTCGAATGCTTTTGATAGATCACAAAAAATGCCAATAGCATCTTGTTTATTCTCCCAAGCATTATAGATATGCCTCAGAAGTGCAATTCCAGCGTCTGTTGTACATTTACCTCTGCTAAAGCCAAACTGATTTTGGTGAAGTAATTTATTTAATGAAAAGTGTGTAAGCAGTTGATTGTACATCATTTTCTCAAATACTTTACTTAATGCTGGTAGAATAGAA